TCCGAGAAGGCTACGTGTAGATCTTTCCTACCAGAAGATCAGGGGTGTGGCAGAAAGACAGCAGTAAGGAGGAGCCAAGGAGTAACAGTAGAAAGGCTGCAGAAAGAGTCAGGAGCCCAGAGGAGGGGGCAAAGGAGGTGAGGGGGTGAGGGCAGAAAGTGGAAATAAAAGCTGACAACAGAACATTGCTAGAGAGCAGGAAATGAGGTGAAAGGAGACAATTTTAGAGAAGAAAATTTTTCGGTCGCTACCCGTATTCGAACCCTGGACCTTTGAATGAGAGACCAACACCTTAACCTCTAGGCCACGAGGGCCCCGTGATCTGAGTGCGATCATAATGGGGGAAACACTGTGACAAAAAAACCCAACGTAACATTCTGTACAGACTTTTTTTCCAACAGATAGCCAGCCTACCACCAACCCACACAAGGTCGACCATCACTCGCCCTCAAAACACCAAGGGAACACTAGATCTAGTACAGTCATTACACTGAAACAGAGGGAGGAGAGCTGAATTTGGAAAGAGCTTTCGTCTTGCATTAAAGAAAGGAGCGTCGACAAGCCCTCCCACTTATTATACTTTCCCACCCACCCCCCACCCTTCCTTACTTCCCAAACTACGGTCCACCCTCCCTCTGAACTCTCACTTCCCCTAACCGTCAAACCTCCCCACCTCTCCCCCTGAACCTCCACCACCCCCCAAGGGCAGTGCTACTGACTGAAATATCTTTAGGCCATTTCCAAAAGGGGGATACTAACATGTTCTTATTCACAGTAGAATTGTAAATGGGCAGATTTATCAATGTCATGCTCATACTGTGCCGGAACAACATTAAGAGGGACTGCTGCTTTTTCTTTCCTCATCTCTACTATCGTCATTTTTTCCTCTACTTCTTTTGTATATTTGTCACTCTCTTGTGAGCTGCTATTTCCAGGGTGCCTTGATAGGCAAAGCAGACTTTATACCGTTTCGGCTAGAGAGGTGAGCAGAGTAGACCTGATTCCCCGTTTGGAATTCTCTGTTGACATCCACCCCTTGGCGCTCATATGACCTTATGCAGTTGCGAGCACCATAAAAACCTCTGCTTAAACAAAACAGCCAAAAGCGAAGGAAGAAGAACGGTTGTTTTTCTCAGTGTATGTTTTCTGTTTGATGCCACCTTACTTTGTGTCTATGGACTGTCTTTTTGTTTGCAAATGCAACTTTGTAAATTTTCAGATATTTTCGTATAAAGTGGCAGTGGCATCCCTGCTAACAAAGACTGTATGTCTTGACAGGGTGGTTGGCGGGTGCTCTGGTGTGGTTTGCTTCTTCTTTCCTATCAAATGGCTATCGTCTTTATCTTCCCTCCTTCTTTATTTTGTTCGTTACTCTCTTGTAACACTTCTAATTTTCGGCACTTATATTTGCACTTATATTTGCACTTACATTGTGTTGCAAGTGCTGTAAAACACTTACTAAAACTGCTCTAAACAGGGTCGTAAAGGTCACCTGAAGAGATGTGCCAGCTCCAAGGAGATGCCGGTGGGCCGGGTCAGGACGGTGCTGGAGCAGCAGGCGGAGGAGTACCGTGACAAGCTGGACAACGGACTTCTGCCCCAAGATTTCTTGTGAGTTTGTTTGTTCTTCCGTTTCCATGGGTGAGTTTGTGTTCAGTTTCGCAAGAGTTTTACACGGCTCTGGCAACGGCATACGGTCATGATATATATGAGGGCACAGGACTCAAGATGGCTGTTTTCATGTTACCTCACAGCACAGCCCTAGTTTTACTTCGTGTTGAAGTTATAGATTTATGGTAAAAATTCAATGGTTTAATCTGTCGTTTTATACATTTGAAAAAAAGTACCAATAGTTTTCACAAAGTAGAGAATTTTACGAGGATCGATGATGGAGAATTAATTTTCCAAATTACTGCATTTAAAATATTTCTTTCAGGTCTCTCCAAAGTCTGAATATTCTGTAAGGACATGCCAGTGGGTGAGGTCAGCTTCGCACACGACACAAAATGTTTTTTCGTCTCCCTGCAGGAGGTATCTATGTGTTGGGGAGATATGTCGAATAATAATAAAGTAATTTTGTTAACGCTTTGCAGTCACACAGCCAGCAGTACAAAATACCCCATCTGGTCACCCAGCCAGCAGTACTAATTACCCCGTCTAGTCACACAGCCAGCAGTACAAAATACCCCATCTGGTCACACAGCCAGCAGTACAAAATACCCCATGTGGTCACACAACCAGCAGTACAAAATACCCCATGTGGTCACCCAGCCAGCAGTACAAAATACCCCATGTGGTCACCCAGCTAGCAGTACAAAATACCCCATGTGGTCACCCAGCCAGGAGTACAAAATACCCCGTCTGGTCACCCAGCCAGGAGAGTGACTGCAACAGACTTCTCGGGCCTGGCGCGTAAATGTGCCTGGTGACCGTAACGGATAATTTCTCACCGATGCTGTATTGCGCCAAGTGATGGCAAAGTCTTAAAATAACTTTGTCCCTTCTGGAGAAACCCGAAAGTTTTCAAGGGCCCAACTTAGGCTTATGTTTGTGAGTAGTAGTCTGGGCAAAGTAGAACCCCTCGGTGAGGCCGACAATGACTCTCAGCCTGAAGATTTCACATACGTCTGACCTCATAAACAGTCCCCCTCCCAAAGCGAACTGAGACCTTCTTGCCCCTATACTCTCTTCTTGCTCCTACATTTCATTTCTTGTAGATCTGATGAGGTAAATGCCCCAACACCACCATCACCGCCAACACCGACCAATTATGATCTCTCATGATTTGTTTCTTAAAATTTAATTTTTGCCCACAGCCCCCCGAAGCAGAAGAAGAAAAAAAAGGGGCTTGCGTCGAGAGCTGTGCCGAAATCGTAAGTGAATAAAATAATTTTTCAGTTTTGAAATCTTGTCATTGGATTTCAGTGGGCTGGTGTCACATGCTTATACGGTATACCACCTGTGTGAGGATTATGATAATGTTTTTACATTCATCTTGACAAGCTGCTGAGCCTCTTTTAGACTGGGGTGCAATTTTAGCTGCTAGATGTTTGTTTCACTGACGAGTGAGGTAGATTTTAAAAATATATGTCTTGCAGGAGTCGGTTTCATAGGAAAGAGTATGAGTTTGAAAGTTTTCCCTCACTGAACAGACACTCTCTTTTATTTTTGTCAATGTCTTGGAGGAGTCAGCTTCATAGGAAAGAGTATGAGTTTGAAAGTTTTCCATCACTGAATAGACGCTCTCTTTTATTTTTGTCAATGTCTTGGAGGAGTCAGCTTCATAGGAAAGAGTATGAGTTTGAAAGTTTTCCATCACTGAATAGACGCTCTCTTTTATTTTTGTCAATGTCTTGGAGGAGTCAGCTTCATAGGAAAGAGTATGAGTTTGAAAGTTTTCCATCACTGAATAGACGCTCTCTTTTATTTTTGTCAGTGTCTTGGAGGAGTCAGCTTCATAGGAAAGAGTATGAGTTTGAAAGTTTTCCATCACTGAATAGACGCTCTCTTTTATTTTTGTCAATGTCTTGGAGGAGTCAGCTTCATAGGAAAGAGTATGAGTTTGAAAGTTTTCCATCACTGAATAGACGCTCTCTTTTATTTTTGTCAGTGTCTTGGAGGAGTCAGCTTCATAGGAAAGAGTATGAGTTTGAAAGTTTTCCATCACTGAATAGACGCTCTCTTTTATTTTTGTCAATGGTGGCCTGGAAGAAAAGTAAAGTGTACTCAATTGTGCTTTCTTTGGCATGTTTACTCAAGGTCTCCTCTTTTTAGAGCTCTTTTACTTAAATTTTTAACATTTCTTTTTTGAAGGCTCTTTTATTGAACTTTTGTTTTCGCTTGATAAAGAGTTTTACTGTTTATTCCTAATTGAAAGAGGATTGTCGTTGACATTTGTATTATGTTCTGTGCATGTTTGCATTAGGTATTGAAAAACTCTCTTCCTTATAATCCTAATTTCCTGAATGTTCAACAAGTTTCAACTCAAAACGTCATTATCAGTGAGTATATCAGTGCTCCGAGAGGGCAATTTAAAAACCAGGGAACAGGCCACCAGATGAATTAGCTGTAAAGAGCATGTCCCTCACAGAAATTGAAAAAGCGGGGACATCATGGAAACAGATAGAAAAGGATGCTCAGGACAGGCTTCGCTGGAGTAATGCTGTTGATGGCCTGTGCTCCACTGGGAGTTAAAAAAAAGGCAAGAGAGAGAGAGAGAGAGAGCATGTCCCTCACCGTCGATGCCAACTCTGTGTATTTGTCACTGTGTGTATTTCAGGTCACTGGAGGAAGACACGCAGCTAGCTTTGGCACTGTCCAACTCTCTTGCCGAGAGCAAGGAGGAAGAGGAAGCCGATGGAATGGACTTGCTGGAACGTGCCGGGGCTGAGTCAAGACTTGGAAACCCTCGGCCGAAAGGGAAACGGGGGAAGCAGTAAGTGCTAGACGTAATTTGACAGTGTGTGTGTAGTAATTTTCTTCCCGGACTTCCTACCCTTTCTTTAGATTTAGTAGAGGTTTTACGGCGCTCGCAACTGCTTAAGGTCATATGAGCGCCAGAAGATTAGAGGTGTTACAAGAGAGTAACAAACGTAAAAAAGAAGAAGGGTAGATAAGGACTATAGATGTTTGATAGGAAAGAAGAAGCAAACCACACCAGAGCACCCGCCAACCACCCTTTCTGTACAACATCAGACTCTTGTTCAGAGGGTAGAGGGGCACGATTCTTGTCAGGCTTTGCAGGGTGGCATTTGGTTCTTTTTACAGCTCTCCCAGCTGTAAGAGTATTTAAAAATCGTCGATTTCACCGATGTACGGAATATCTGAGATAGACTCCACAGGCAGCTTTGCTGTACCTCCCCCAGGGATTGTGATAGTAGTCTAGAAGGGCTGGCCCAAGGAGGTGTTTGTAAAATCCCATCAGCGGTTGATCTGAAGCTGGTATATTACTACAAAGTGGTACGCTTAACTCTTTGCCATCACAAGGCTCGTATCGTCGGCCCAGAGTACAACTGTCGTATGTCCACACACTCCGGTTTTGAGAAAAAAGCCTTCAAAGTTTGAGATGGCTCCAGATTCAAATCAATCACTAACTCATTCATCTAACTGTTACCCATTGTTTGTGTGTAGAATCAATGTTTCAACTTTCAAAGTTTTCACAGATTGCTGTTTTCCTGTGGAATTGAGAAACAGTTTTGGTTTTAAGAAAACCCAGTTTTCTGAAATATTGAACTAAATACCTTTTGGACCACTTGTCCACTCAACACCTTAGAAAAGGCAACATTAAAGAGGACATGACAGGTGGACCAACATGCAACAAAGACTGTTTTTAAAGTATCTTCTCTTGCCCCACCCCCCTGCTTTTTTTTTCTTTTAAAACTTTGCTCCAGGAAAGAAACAACCAACCTGCTCACGTCCGTGCTGAGAGAGGAGGCCCAGCAGCGGATAACGGATCGGATAGCTCGCTACATTTTCTCGGTGGTGAGACGTCTCATTTCTTTCTTCACTGTTTGACTGGGTTTGTTTGGTTTTAAATTTCCCTTTGTGTATCTGTTGACAGCTGAGGAAGTGCTTGTTAGTATTCATTTAGTTTCTCTTTTTTTTAGAGTACATCTGAAGAGATTATCATGATCTTTGGGTAACGCATTGATGATTATTTTTTTGTCTTTATTGGGTGGAAGGGGGGGGATGGATTGCTTCTTGAACATATCACAATGAGATCAGAGTTCCTACAGCTTCCTTGAATTCAAGGGGTCTGTTAAAACTCCTTTAATTTGCATTCTAAGAAAAGTCTCCTTGACAATTCCTTGAATTTAAGGAACCTCTTTGAAAACTCCTTGAATTTCACCGAATCGGACTTGAACAAAAAATTTTTAATTGAATTTGTTACCCAAATCTCCTTGAATTTTAAAAAATTTCTCCTTGAAATCTCCTTGAATTTTTAAAAATTTCTCCTTGAAATCTCCTTGAATTTTTAGAAATTTCTCCTTGAAATCTCCTTGAATTTGGTGGGGAGTCCATGGCAGGAGCCCTATGAGAACTTGTTCACTCATTGAGAACTTGTTCACTCATTGAGAACTTGTTCACTCATTGAGAACTTGTTCACTCATTGAGAACTTGTTCACTCATTGAGAACTTGTTCACTCATTGAGAACTTGTTCACTCATTGAGAACTTGTTCACTCATTGAGGACTTGTTCACTCATTGAGAACTTGTTCACTCATTGACTATAGGTAGGGGGATACAACTACTGAAGGCATCTGCTCTTGTTAACAAGAACTGTCTGGTCTTTTTTCTTACATCCTGCCAGCCTCAGGCGGTCAGTGAGCAAAAAACTCCTCCTTTCAAGAAGCGGAGAGGCCAACCTTCGGAGGGACCAGGAGAGGAAAATACCCCTTCTCTTTGGTCGAGGGCGCAAGCGGGTGAATTTGCCAGTGCGAGTTTGGCGGGGCTGGCTGGCGATAAGTCGCCTTCTGCGAGTTCAGCCGAGGTGACAAAGGCGGAAGAGTTCTATGTGCGAGTTCTCATGCCCCCCATGCAGGTGGATGTGGTGAGGGCAGGCAGTAAGCTCAAGAATCTGTTGAACATCCCTGGTCGTCGGCGGACTATCAAGGCCCTGGCTGAAGCAGAGGTGAGCGCACAACGGAGAATAAGAATAACGTTGATGAGCATTCTACTGAAGTTTTTTTTGCTTGTGTTTTTTTTGTTGTTGTTGTTGTTTGTTTTGGGTTTTTGTTACTGTCAGGGGAAACATTTTCATCGATCGAGGGAAGAGAAGAGCCGGGAATGTGTATGTCATGTGCAGATCTTATTTTAAAAGTTGAGCCACACCCTGAAGTAGCAACAACAAAAGTGTGTGTTTTGCCTAAGGACCCCACCTCCCCCCCCCCCCCCCCCCCCCGGCCCCCCCGGACCTCATTAAGATACGATTAGATAACAATTTATTGATCTCCTCAATGAGGAATTTGCTGTTGCATGGTAAATACATATATATGCATTGTTAACATGGCAAACACACACACACATTCTCTCTCTTTCTCTCTCTCTCTCTCTCTCTTTCTTCTCTCCCTCTCTCTCTCTCTCTCTTTATCTCTATCTCACTCCTAACTCCTGCAACAATGTTTTCATCAATATACGATTCATCTGATTCATCATTTGCCGGTTGCTTGTTCTGGCAAATGTCCATCGTTATTTGCTCGTTGTAGCTCAGTTGTCTCGCTTTTCAGCTCGTCGCGCTATCTTCAGGGTTACAGAAACACAATTGTACGTCAATCAGCTCGAATACTAGAAAACTGCTGGCTTAAAAAATTTTGTTTCAGTATTCAACCGCGAAGAAGAAACGTTTAGTAATAACCATATAGAACGAAATCTTGGCCCCAGATTCTCATGAAGACGAGACTTTGTTTCTAAAGAGGCCTGGTCTGAGCGTGTGATTCCCAGCGGTTTAAGGTGGAGCGCGTAGAGAAATTTCCAGGCGATTTCGGGAGAGTTAGGGTGAAATGTGTAATGTGTTATCAGCTCCCTGCCTTTTGTCTACTGAACTGAATACTCCACACCTCGCACAGAATTTATGCCCTTAAATTTTCCATGTTTAGGTTTATCCCCTAACTCTATGTGTGTTGATTTATTTAATAGCTCTCTTGTGTAAAGGAACTCTCTTTTTTTTTTAACTTTTCGTTTCTGAAGGGTTTTGGTAGACCTGTGTATTTGTCTCATTAGACACTGTTGCAATGTGAAGCTCCAAGTAACCGGCCGAATGATGTGATTTTATGATGTCCGTAGGAGGAAGATGATGGAGATGAAGACAGCGTGGAAGATGAAGAAAGCGAGGAAGGTGATGACAATGAGGAAGATGAGGACAGCGAGGAAGGTGATGATGAAGTAGACTCGGTGGGGTTCCCTGTATCTCAGACTGCCCACATTCTGGCTCAGTTGGCCGAGGAAGGAATGAGCGACAGCAGCTGTTTGACCCAGGCGGTAGGCGAAGGACCGTCTTCTCAGACCGAGCGCCAGGCTGTGTCGTCAGAAGGCACTTTACGTTCCACACCGGCCCTCGCCGAGATGCCGTCGGGGAGAGAAAACTCGAGTCCGCAACAGGAGCGAGTCATGTCGTCTGCAAGTACCCCCAATGAAAGTCTGCCGGGTGAGTGTTCCGTGTCGCTCGTCAACAAAATCTGGGTACCTGAGGCCGCAGCGACTGTGCCGAACTGCGATCTGTCGGTGGGGCGTGCGGAGCCACGAAACGGTCGCCATTCGTCTCCTCAACTGACATGTTCTGTCGTCAACGGTGAAGGGTCAGCTAGACTGACTGACCTCCAGAACAAGAACAGTCAGCTTCCAAGGCAGACAAAGCCACCGGCAGACAGGAGGAGTTCAGCGCCCGAAGCAGCAGTCGACTGTCGCAACCCGCTCCCGGTAACACCAGCACGGGCTGCCAACTGCGAGTCGATGCCTCAGCAAAGCGAGAAAGTGCCTCCAGGCGTTGATAGCAGTTCCCTAACAGACAAGTCTGTTCCCGCTGACCACCACAAAGAGCTGTTGCAGGCTTTTGCTTCTCTGGTCGGGAGCAGCAGCTATAGTGATATTTCCATCGCCACAGGGGACAATCAGCACCTCTGTGCTCACAAAGTCGTTCTGTTCTGCCGCTGTCCAAGTTTGTTGAGGGTAAGAAACTTCCTCTCTAATATTTCTTTCTATATCAAAATGGGGTGCAAAAAGTCAGTTTTTTGTGTGTGGGGAGGGGGAAGGGGTGGTGTCCCCAGGCTAAAGAATTTTTTTTTAATTTCTAGTTTAATTTTAGACATAATTTTATTTTAATATGGAAAATAATTTTAGAGAAGTTCTGAGACGTGGCGGTCCTCAAATGTTTGAGCTTGGATATCTGAGAGTTTTCTCTGTGAAGTCTGAGGGAGCAAGTGTTCCAGGAGCAGATTGGTGGCAAATTAAAGAAGGAAGTGTCTACGTACTCCCCAATTGGGGTCTACGTAGTCATGGTGTCAAGGTGGACCCCAAAAATGTTGGATTGTGATTGGCTCGCTGAGCGAGCGGTAGTTTACATTGGTTACAATGCAAGGCTGCTAGGCCTACTTACTGATCATCTCGGGTAGTATGTCTGTCTTGTGTTACTATAATTAATTTATTTTAGCCAAGAGAGAGAGAAAGAGAGAGTATTTAATGAATAAACGTATCTAGATCTAGATCTAGATTTTGTTGTGCACCCAGCCAAGAGTGTGCAGTTCGGTCTAGATTTAGATTTTAGATCTAGATTAGTTCTAGATTCTAGATTTAGATACGTTTATTCATTAAATACTCTCTCTCTGGGCTAAAATAAATAAATTATAGTAACACTAGATCGACACACCGCCCGAGATGATCAGTAGCCGTGCATTGTAACCAAAGATAGTACAGCCTACCGTAGGGTGTAGTATCTTTGTTGTAACCAATGTAAACTACCGCTCGCTCGGCGAGCCAATCACAACCCAACATTTTGGGGTCCACCTAGACACCATGACTACGTACACCCCAATCGGGGAGTACGTAGACACTTCCATTAGAGAAAGAATTTCTCTGTCCATCTAACTTTAAACTGGGACCAGTATTTGTTCAGGGCCAAACTTTTCCGTTTATCTGCAAATATTGTAATGATGTTGTGCAAACTTACAGAACTTAAAAGTTATAGATTTCTGAACTTACCAACCAAGACTGGACATTTTCTCCTTCTGCTGATGGAAATTGTAATCCTGTCAAGGATGAGATTAGATTGGTTGCTGGGTTTTTTCACTCTGAGGATGAATTCCTTTAAAGAACAAGATGAGATTGTGTGTTTTCTTTCTACTGATAAAATCTGGTGAGAGTTGAAATGAGATTGTATGTTTTCTTTTCACTGATAAAATCAGGTGACAGCTGAGATGAGATTGTATGTTTTCTTTTCACTGATAAAATCAGGTGACAGCTGAGATGAAATTGTATGTTTTCTTTTTACTGATAAAATCTGGTGACAGTTGAAATGAGATTATATGTATTCTTTTCACTGATAAAATCAGGTGACAGCTGAGATGAGATTGTGTGTTTCCTGTCTGCTGATAATGTCCTGTACATTTGTAGAGGTTCAGATGAGATTGTGTATTTTCTTTCTGCTGACAATGTCACATGAAGATGGAGATGAGATTGTGTGTCTTCTAGTCTTCTTTCGGTTGATAAAATCAGATGACATTTGAGATGAGATTGTGTGTCTTCTAGTCTTCTTTCGGTTGATAAAATCAGATGACATTTGAGATGAGATTGTGTGTCTTCTAGTCTTCTTTCGGTTGATAAAATCAGATGACATTTGAGATGAGATTGTGTGTTTTCTTTCTCCTGACAATGTCCGTGGATGGTTGGCGGGTGCTCTGGTGTGGTTTGCTCCTTCTTTCCTGTCAAATTTCTATTGTCCTTATCTCCCCTTCTTCTTTTTTATGTTTGTTACTCTCTTGTAACACCTCTAATCTTCTGGCGCTCATATGACCTTATGCAGTTGCGAGCGCCGTAAAACCTCTACTAAAACTAAACTGACAATGTCCCACAAAGATTGAGATGAGATTGTGTGTTTTCTTTCAGCTGATAATGTCCTGTAACGGACGAGACGAGATTGATCTCACAGAGTGGAGACCTGAAGTAGTTTCCGGCCTACTGAGGTTCATCTACAGCGCTCAACTTCCAGATGACCCTTCCCTGCGGGAGCAAGTGAGGTCACTGGGTCAAAGGTCAGTCCTCGGGGTGGTGTTGAGTGACGGGGCACTGGTGCTGTCGTTGCTATTTGTGTCACGACGCGGTAGAATCAGGCGCTTGTCAGTTTTTGGGTGTGTAAAGTTGTTGGTGTCAACTTAACCCTAACCGTGCGCCCTGGGGTCATTTTGTACCCCCGGGGTTGTATTCTTCACATTTTAGAATACCTCTAGTACGAAAATCTCTTTGAAACTTTCAGTATTTCTCAAAAAATCATTTTGGCAGACTGCTATGGATACGATAGTAAAACACGACGTACGGATAGGGTTAAAGTTTGTTCATTTGTCTATCTTTCTATTTAAAAGATACACATCTATCTTGAATGAAAGTTGAGATATTTGTGATTGAAGAAGGTGGGGGAAGCCTGATTTCAGATGTAAAATTAACGAAAAGGTGGCCGCCAAAGTTTGGTGACTTCTATAGCTTGAGAGTCCTTGGAAACTGAAAATTTATACTTTGTTATGCCTTTAATCAACATTTTTTCAATAAAATGCAAACAGAAATATATTTTTTAATGGACATAAAAGATGTTGAGCCAAAAAACAAATGTTTGATCAAAATGACCAAACCGACATAAAAATGCCAGTGTCTTTGATTTCATTATTTTGACGAGCGCCTGATTTCACCACGATGCTTCACATTTTTTACTCTCAAATAGGAAGGAGGGATGTTTTTAGAGGCTATTCCGATGGATTTTTATTTTTTTGTGACTGGGTCTGTGCTGTTTGCTCCAGGGAATGCTGGGGTCATGTTCATCATAATGGATTTGCTGGTAATTTGGCTGTAATGCTCTTACAACTGACGTAGATCTATCATTGTTGAAATCATTTTCTTTTACGACAATTTTTTTTAAAATGTTATATTTCGGAATAGCTAGTTGGTTGGGGTTTTTTTTAGATTTATCTTGTGATTGGTCAAAATTTAAATGAAAGGACTATTCTGAACTATATCAGTTTTTGTTTTTTTTTAAACTTGTAAAGGTTCTTTTTGCCTTTGTCCGGGTTTTTTTCACATGGCTGGAGACAAATGGGTCATTTAAGAGGTTAAGCAGTCAGCCTAGTGGTTAAAATAAGGTGTCAGTGGCCTAGTGGTTAGGCTCTCGGACTCGCAACTGTAAGGTCGTGGGTTCGATTCCCGTCAGGGGCCCGACGTTGTGTCCTTGGTAAAGGCACTTTACATGAATTTTCCTCACTTCACCTAGGTGGAAATGGGTACCCGGCTATAGACAGTGAAAGATCTTGTCAGTTTGTTATTGTTTGAGCACATGAAATCCACATCTTGCACTGTATGCTTCCCGGGAGGCCTAGAATGTTTCTGAGTGTTCTAGGGTCTGCTGGGGTAGTAACAGTTGTAGTTTAGTGTACTTACGACCTTAGAGCATGCATCAAAATAACATTGAGTGTGTATCTAGCTTACGATTATTATTGTTTATATTGCTGCTCATTTATATTATGCATGTGATTGTAAGCCTACTTGTGTGTGTGTGTGTGTGCGCGCGTGTGTGTGTGTGTACTCGTGGTGGAACACCAAACCAATGTGCCAGGATCTGGACAATAAAGATGTATCTTATCTTATCTTATCTTAACAGTTGTAAAGCGCATAGAGCATGCTGCAGAACGTGGATATGTGCTACATAAATGCAGGAATTATTATTATTATTTTAAAAGCTCTGACAAATTTCACAAACACTTGTCTCTCCAGGTATGACATGCAGGGGCTTCCTAGCGTTGATGCTGTGGTCAAGGAGGAGAAGGAGGAGAGCAGACGGAAAAGTGAGAAAGTGACAGAGGATGTGGCAGTGGCAACGTCTCCTGAGGGGGGGTTCATGGATACCTCAGATGTTCTAGAATACAAGGATGTCTTTGGAGGTTTGAAGGAGGAGAAGGAAGAGGAGATGGAGACGGGTAGTTCAGACAATGTGGATGGCGAGGCAAATGCTGATGTGGTGCGGCCTCTCTCTCCGGTAATATCATCAGGAGTGAGAGATTCTTTATTGGCCGATACAAATACCGCAGGCCCAGACTGGCAGGTTTCTGGGAGCGCAACGCTGCAAGGAGAAAGTGGTACATCTGAATTTAGTCGCCATACCTTGGAAGGTTGTTTGGAATTGAAAGAGTCAAGTTTGGGAAGTCTCACCAATGTAAGTGATGCTGGCGTGCCATCAGGGACTCCACAAATTGACAGTGATGCTGGCGTGCCTTCAGGGACTCCACAAACCGACAGTGATGCTGGCATGCCATCAGGGACTCTACAAACTGACAGTGATGCTGGCATGCCTTCAGGGACTCTACAAATTGACAGTGATGCTGACGTGCCATCAGGGACTCTACAAACCGACAGTGATGCTCCCGTGCCATCAGGGACTCTACAAATTGACAGTGATGCGGTTACGTCGGAGGGAGCTTTGTCTCAGGCTGGACCTTCTGAAGTAGTACTCCAAGGGCTGAAGGAGGAAGGTGAAAATGTTTTGGAACTGAAGCCTCCATGCACGAAAGTGGAAAAGGATGCAAGTACGAAAACTCCAAAGGGCAATGCACCCAAGAAACTTACGAAAATGAGTAGGAGGGATCTTGCCCGCTGCATCAAGAAAATTTGTTCGGGGAATGGGACTGGCATGAAAGACGACGACATCGGAAGATTGGTCCTCAAGTTTGAATCAGACATGGAAAAGGGTGTTTTCATACCAAACCTACTGGATGGGAATGACTGGGGAGAGGATGTGGTGTGTACCTTGGTAGAGAAGAGTGTCTCGGACGGTGGTGGAGCATCAGCAGGGAATAGCAAGCCGCCTGGGACTATCATAAATTCCGTGTATCTTCAGGCTGCCTCAGCTTCAGCTGCCCGCTCACCTCTCTTCAAATCACCGTCAAAAACCCCAACCAAAAAACAAACTGTCAGTCCAGCTGCAAAAACTAGAAATGAACAAACGGAAAAAAAAACTGATGCCCGTTCAACAGCTATTACACCTGGCAAACAAGCCAAAAAACAAACTGATTTCGGTCCACCATCTAAAGATTCTTCTAGCCCGAGTCTCATGGCATCTAATCTTTCTGCATCTTTTGAGCTGTTTAGTGAGGATGAAGATTTAACACCTGATGCTGATAAAGCAATGAGTTTGCCTAACCTACAACTCTGTGTGTCGTCAAGTGGACAGAAGGAGAAGGATCACTTCACTCATTCTCTTTTTGAACAAACTTCTGGCAACACTACACCGACTGTGCATTCATCAACCCCAAAAGCTAACAAGAAAGACTCCATAGACAAAGGATATCCAGAGTTTGGGCGCCCTGCCATCAGTTCTGTGCATTCACCAGATATGCAGAGTAAATCTGGACTCGTCACCGGCCTCCAAACGCCCCCAAGTGGTGCAAAAACAGCAAGTTTTAGCCCGTTCAAAAAGAAAACAGTCCGAGGCTTGGCGCGGAAATCCCCTGTCGTGTTGGCCTCATCAAAGTCTAGTGTCGTGGATGTTATGGCTCCCCCCAGCAGCACAACGTCACCATCGTCGCTCACAGTGGTCGATTCACCGGCCAAGGGTCTTGCCAAATATGGTGTGCTTTCGCCTGGAAGGGTCCCTCATGGTGATGGTGGTGACCTGTTTACGAGCTCACGAGAAAGGTCAACAACTTCGCTGGACGAGTCGGGAGTGCCGCTGGAGAAGACTCCGGAGACTACACCTGCCCAGAGTCCTGGGTCTCGCACTCCCGACCGTGCTACTGATGTGAGAGAACAGCAAGCAGGGGCAACGTCATCAGCCACGCCATCTGTGCCCGAGCCGTCGACAGTTATGTCTCCTGCTGTGTCTGCTGGCTCCCTAGCTGCACACCCCATCACTCCTGCCACCGAGTCGGTCAATACAGCGGGGGTGCGAGCCGTGTCCCATCCCCACGTACCCAGGAGAGAGTGGGAGCACGCCCGCATTACTCTACCCCCCGGTCACGGCTCTCTGGAGACTGGCCGACCCTGCCCTCTGGCAGCTCTCGGAGAACGTCCCAGTCCTTTTAAGGTAACACCAGCCTCTTCACGGTGGTCATCTTCTAGTGGTGGAAGTGTTTGGCAGTATTTTGTCAGCAGCTCCTTTATTGAGGTTTCATTTCATGAATCTATCCCCGTGGTTTTATGCACCCCACATAATTTAGCAAAGTTTTATCATTTTCGCATAATTTCTGATTATTTACCTTTTTCATTCTTTGGTAAAATTAACAGAATCGCATAATTTCGCATTTTTTGACTCAGTTTTGCATAATTTCAACATTTTTCTTGCCTAAAACGACGGGGACAGCTTGAATGCCTTTATCTAGATGTGAAGTTCACTACATGTATGAACTTGACCTGTAAACTTACATCCAGTCAATTTGTTATGTCCAGGCTTTTTTTTTCTCCAAATTGATTTTCTTTTTGAGGGGCTGAACAATTTCTGTTAGGATGGCCGAAGTACTTTTTTATCCCATTCTTCTGCCTGCAGGAACAACCCTATTTATGGAATCATATTTTTATATTTTCCTAAAAGGAATCAACAATAAAAGCAGAGCAGGAGACAATGTCCTCGCCCCAAGGCAGATACACCCTTTTCATTTGTTTGCAGGCTTTTTTGTTTCTTCCCATCTGAAGAGGGTTATATTTTTCTCTCATTCTTCCTCTGTTTGTACAGTCAGTGACAAGACCACAGAAGCTTGTGAAGAAGTTGTTCCAAGACCCGTTCCTCAGCACCTCCCCCAGTCGTTCGGCAAACCAACAACTCCCGAGTGAAACGACAGACTGTGCCGCTGGCTCTCCTCTGGACTTGTCCCTAGAACGCTTTAAGTCTGCGTTCAACATCCCAAAACCTCAGCCTGTCAGGGACTCGGCGGAGTCCTCACGCCAGACGATACGCCCAGTTGTTCCTCCTGCTGTCGCCGTCCCTGATAAAAAAAGTAGCTCGTCAGCTTCAAATCAAGCGCAAGATTCCCCCAGCACGGCTAGGTTTCCTGCTCCCAAACAGAACCGCAACGGGGATGGATGTTCTGACGCATCCCCTGCCGGCAAAGTAAATATTGTTTTTAGGGTACTCACGTCTCCCCCTGTGGCGCCTACATCCAAACCCAATGCCGGCACAGACCGTCCAGAAGGGGGAGTTGCCTCCCACAAATCCACGGACACTTCAGTGGGGCCGCACCGTCCACTCCTGTCTTCCATTTTCCCCCCTCGTGACAGAAGCAGAGAAACGCCAGTAGGTGGTGCGCTGACGTCGGACACAAGTTTGGACTCACTCCCCCCTCCCCCGACAAGCTCGACGTCACTCCCCCCTCCCCGGACAAGCTCGACGTCACTCCCCCCTCTCCCGACAAACTCTACGTCACTCCCCCCTCCCCCGACAAGCTCGACGTCACTCCCCCCTCCTTCAACAAGCTTGAGCCCTCAGGGCTTGACTAGACCACCGCTGGCCCATGCTGTGGGGAACAGTGCGCTGAGCCGTCGGCCGCCTCTCTCTGGACAGGAAGTGGACCGATGCTTGCTGCCCCTGAGCCAGAGACTGGGAAGAAGTACCGCTCTCACGGTTGGTGGCAACTTGACCGAGACCTTACCGGGAAATGACTGGACGAGGCAGGTGCCGGAAGTGCAGGTACAATGACAATGACAATCTTTATTCATCTCGCAGGGAGAAATTTGTCTTGGTCGCAGGGAGAAATTTGTCTTGGTCGCAGGGAGAAATTTGTCTTGGTCGCAGGGAGAAATTTATCTTGGTCGTTAACAATGGTAGTAGACGTTACAAAAGTTAGACTTAATGGTGCACTCACGCAAACGCACAACAAGACAGGACATTAGGCCAAGTAAATACATGTCTCACGGGCTGGAACAACCCGCTCCGTAAAACAATCATATTCTCTCTCTCTCTCTTTCTCTTCTCTCTCTCTCTCTCTCTTCATTTGTAGCACTGTGTGTAGTACCTTACTGCAGATGGTACGAATGAATTTCTATATCTGTCTGTTCTTGCTTTTTTGGAAATGTAGCGTTTACTGCGGGTCGATAGTTGAAATTCCGATGTCAGTGGGGTGGCTGTGGTCACTAAGCATTATTTCCACCTTTTTTAGAACGTTTGTCTTGTGCAGATATTCAAAGTTACTTAGGTCTCTACCAATTGTTCTTGCTGCCTTTCTTATCATTGTCTTGGGCGGGCTTGTTTGGGGTTGGGTTGGGGGTTTTTTTTAGGGAGGGGTTTGTTTTGGTTTGTATCTGTGAGGTAATGGGGAACAGTATTAACTATGTGGAATGAATTTTTCAGTCGATTCACTCTCTACCATAATCACTCATCATGGGTGGTTGGAGGGTGCTCTGGTGTGGTTTGCTCCTTCTTTCCTATCTAACGTCTATCTTCCTTTTATCTCTCCTCCTTTTTCTGTGTATGTTACTCTCTTGTAACACATAATCTATTCTTCAGCACTTATATGGCCTTATTGTGTTGCAAGTGCTGTAAAACTCAGAAAACTCGTAATCACTCATCCAATAACTGTAACCGAAAGGCAAAGTTTCTTAGTCGAAAGAAGGTAACTAAACGGGGATACAAAATCTCCAGCGGACTCTGTTGCGACTTGCAACATGTACCGCAACTTGTTGTATTCATTTGGATTTGCTCATTTCTACGTGATGTTGGTTCTTAAAGTCACCAATCATACTCGCTACCATGATGCCGACAGTAAAACCAAAGGCGTTGTTGCGTCAGTGAATTTATGAGCCTGGGGCAGTTTCCCTTTGTGGTGGATAAAGAACAGACTTTATGAGTGGATGGTTGGTGGGTGGGTGGAGCTCTGGTGTAGTTTGCTCCTTCTTTCCTCAAACATCTGCCATCTTTATCTCTCCTCCTTCTCCTTTGTGTATTTTACTTTCTTGTAACACATCTACTCTTCGGCACTTATGTGACCTTATTGTGTTGCAAGTGCCGTAAAACTCCTACGAAAACTTCTTCCTTTCTTTGTAGGTTCTGGTTACTCTCTAATCAAAACCTGCAATCTTTGTCGCTTGTATGACCTAATTGTGTTGCAAGTGCTGTGAAACTCTTGCTAAAACTGAAGTGGACTTTGTGAAAATCGTAGGTGAGGAGACCAGAAGCTGAGCTCAAAAGTCCAGAGAAGAAACCAGCCAAAAAGGCAAGGATGGAACCCTCCCCCTTCACACCGATGGCGCCATACGGCACTATGAACACTCCAGAACTCAAGGTAAGCCTGTACTGTGTAGTCCGTCAAGATGTGTCGTAGACTTTGGCGAGCCCCCCCCCCCAAGGGCAGTGCAACAGACTGAAGTGTCGCAGTGCAACAGACTGAAGTGTCTTTAGGCCATTCCCAAAGGGGTGGATAGTAACATGTTCTTATACACAGTAGAATTGTAAATGGACTGATTTATCCATGGCATGCTCATACTGTGCCGGAACAACATAGGGGAATTGCTGCTTTTTCTTTCCTCGTCCTTACTATTGTCATTTTCCTCTACTTCTTTAATATGTTTGTCACTCTCTTGTGAACTGCTATTCCGGGGTGCCTTGATAATCGAAGCAGACTTTGTGCTGTTGAGGCTAGAGAGATGAGCAGAGTAAGTCTGATTCCCTGTTTGGACTTCTCTGTTGACATCCTCCCCTTGGCGCTCATATGACCTTATGTAGTTGCGAGCGCCGTAAAACCTTACAAAAGCTAAACTAAAGACTCTGGCGATAATGGAGTCAGGGAAACACTAACAACTCACGGCATCCCCCTGACCCAAACTCTCCTGCTGGTGGCAAAAAGACGTCTCTTTTTTCCCTCGACACCCAAAAAGGTATCAGCTGCGAATGAAAGAAAGAAAGTCCCTCTCTTTCTCTTCTCTTCCTCCGCCCCTACCGTCTGATCTGTTGCTTTCTCTTCTGGAACTCTGGCGGAAATGTGCATGTTCTACCAGGCTGAAACAACACCTAGACAGGGATGGCTGGTGCCTCTATAAATAAATTATTGATGATGATGTTGCATGTTCTTGTTCTTCTACATGAGAATTCATAATATATAGATTCTTCGCCACTAGTCGGGTAGTGATGTTCCTGCTCAAAAGGTGGCCTTTTGGGCGAAATCAGTTTAGGAATCCCCAAATACTCTGAGCCGGGACATCACTTCTCGACGAGAGCTGATTCTTCTTTTAAAATGTTAGGCAATTTTTTTTTCTTGGAACCTCACGTCCACCATTTTGTACTAGCTTTGAGTTGCGACTGATTTTCCCATTCCGTAAATTTATATGTCTTGACATAATGAAAGCGACAGGAAATCCTGTGCTTCAGACGGTATATTGCTGGGTTCATACCTTCTATCCTTTTCAGTGGTCACTGACATTTCTTATTTATATATTGTGCCGTAAGCTGACAAAACGCCTTTTTTCATCTTGGCACCAAATTTTTTGTTTGCTAAATCGAAAGCTTGATGAGTTACCCTACTTGTATGAAAAAAATTCAAAGTGAAACTGTGACTAGTTCTTTAATAAATTAGAATTCAAATTTCGGAATAATGCTATTTTTAAATGGTTACGCTGACCAAAAAAAAAAAAACCCCTCTTTTTCTCGAAACTGCTGTGAACAAACAAAGGGGTTCTGTCAGCTTACGGCAGCGTTAGTCTACGCAGCAGTGCAAAGGTTAAAGTTATGTCATTTGTTGTTTTTCCTCTGTGTCTCTGGCAGCTGGAAGCGGCCAAGATCGGGGTTCGGCCAGTGGGCAAGAAGAGGATGAGGGCACTGCTGGAGCATGTCTACCACCAGACTCATCAGTGTAAGTCGAGGACTCTTTTGTTTTGTTTTTGTAAAGTGTTTTACAGCGCTCGCAACTGCGTAAGGTCATATGAGCGCGCGAAACACACTTAATATTTTCAGTTGGTAGGAAAGTTTGAATTTTGCCCGGGTGGCGGCCGAAGCCTACTCTTATCGATTTTAGACCACCAAGGGATCTTTAACGTGCGCAACTTGCACACGGGCCCTCCGAGATTTTCGCCCTTGTCCGAGAAGGCTAGGTGTAGATCTTTCCTACCAGAAGATCAGGGGTGTGTCTGAAAGACAGCAGTAAGAAGAAGCGAAGGAGTATCCAGGACTCTGGGAAATGTGCAACCCTTCACCTGGCCCCCAGGAAATCGCGGTCTACTTGCGGGCGCGTTTTTAGTCGAGTTCTGCAATAAACCCGCGATTTTTTTGCAATTTTCACAATTTCTTGCAATTTTAGGCAAAATAACATCAACGCTTTAATTTTAACAGAATTTTTAATTCGAAATAGTGCAAGTACAGAGCTGATAGGTCTACGTAAATCATGGTTTCGGCCCAGACTATACCCGGGAAATTCAGGCCGGAATACATCATGTACAACACAAACGGATACATAGAGATCTAATGTGTGTAAGTGTAAGCGTGCGCGTGTAATGAGAAAGTGTGTGTGAGGTGTGCATGTGTGTGCACGTGTAAGGTCAAGGTGTACGTGTGTGTATGTGTGTGCGCGCACGCGTGAATATTGTTCGTACATGATGTAGATGTATGCGTCTACGTACACGGTAACCGGGCAACTAGTCTCAGTATCTACGTACACGGTAACCGGTCACCTAGTCTCAGTATCTACATACACGGTAACCGGGCACCTAGTCTCAGTATCTACATACACAGTAACCGGAATGAAAATAAATCAATATTTTTGTCCTGTGCTGTCACTTGAAAAAAAAAAGAAAGTCATACAAGCGTCTTGTCGGGCTCGCCATCGTGACCGGTCATTGAACCTGTGCTTTGGCTTCACATTGTGAGTACCGATTGGGGTCACCAAAGTTCATTCAGTGGGTGGTTGGCAGGTGCTCTGGTGTGGTTTGCTTCTTCTTTCCTATGAATGAAACATCTATCGTCCTTATCTCCCCTTCTTCTTTTTTAATGTTTTTATGTTGTTACTCTCTTGTAACACCTCTAATCTTCTGGCGCTCATATGACCTTGTGCAGTTGCGAGCGCCGTAAAACCTCTATTAAAACTAAAAGTTCATTCAAAGTCTGTGCGCTGCGAAATATAGGGCTCGGGAATGGGGGGGATTATTGATTTTTTTTAAAGGTGCAGGCGGGTGAGGGCTGGGGTTGAAGGCACTTCGGATGACAAAAACTGAACTTGGAGTTCTGAACTGCCTGGTTACTGTGTGCGTGACACTGAGACTATGTGCCCAGCTGCCGGTTACCGTGTACGTAGACACTGAGGCTAGGTGCCCGGTTACCGTGTACGTAGACACTGAGGCTAGGTGCCCGGTTACGGTGTACGTAGACACTCCCAATATATAAAACGCTTTAAAGCTGCGTTCACACGGGAGTGGTCGCTATAGAAATGATCTACATTATTATTACTATTAAATGGAAAAAAATTGCTGTATTTTACAATTTGACTTAGAGTTAAAACAATTCAATACTGGTTTTAAAAAACAAAATATCTGAAATAGATCTAAATACAGATTACCAGTGTATCAAAGGTTTCAAAAGTAAAATAGAATAGGATCTGAATTGATTGGGGCATAAGCTAATTTTGCATTTAGAGGTATGTTGTTCGAATCTCCCATCAATTTTTGTTTTGTTTTTATAGACTAAACCTCGTTCTACACTTCTAGATCTTTGCATGAACCAAGTACCCGGTATGTACTAAATTATCTCAAATTTTATGCCTTCATTTAAAAGTTATTATGAAAACCAAGGGTTCCATTATTTTGGGTAACGCGGTATTATATTATATTTGGTCGACAACTTTATTGTTAACGTACTCGTGTGTTGTTTCTAGTAAATGTTGTTTAAAAAATTTGTATTGTGGGTCATGATTTTTTAAAAGGCTGTTCTGCTTTTATGCTACCGGTACTCAAATTGTCATGTTTTTTAATTAAACTAAAAATGTTAAGCCCGTATTAATGGGCCTGGGATGGGAAGGTTGCAATTTTTTTGCAATTTACCTTGCAATTGTTTACTATTTTTCCATTTCAAAAATGCAATTTTCCACGGGGCCAGCTTCACTCTGGTGGTGTGTGTGTGTGGGTGGGGTGTGAGTGTAGGTTGTTCAATCAGATACAGTCAAACCCCATTGCTCTGTCCCCGGGGTTTTATGCACCCCACATAATTTAGCAAAATTAGAACATTTTTTGCATAATTTCTGATTATTTTCCTTTATCATTCTTTGTTAAAAATTAACAGAATCGCATAATTTCACATTTTTAGGCTCAGTTTGCATAATTTCAGAATTTTTTTTGCATAAAACCGCTGGGACAGATTGCTGAAAGTGGGTAAGAAGAGGGTAAGTTGAGCACTCTCAGAGATGTGCAACCCTTCACGCTGGTGGTGTGTGTGTGTGTGTGTGTGTGTGTGTGTGTGTGTGTGTATGTGTGTGTGTGTGTGTGTGTGTGAGTGTACCACCTCCCTTAGGACGGGCATGACGTTGACAGTACAACGAGGTTTTCATGTCCTCGGTTAACTACATGTAGCACCGACTGCCCAAGGTCAAGGGAACCTGTTTACCAATCTGTCCCCGTCCTTTTATGCAAAAATAATTCTGAAATTATGCAAACTGAGCCCCAAAATGTGAAATTATGCGATTCTGTTCACCTTAACAAAGAATGATAAAGGAAAATAATAAGAAATTATGCAAAAAATTATCAAATTTTGCTAAATTATGCAGGGTGCATAAAACCACGGGGACAGACCAATCACTAGATGAATTATTGTGCTTGTGCCCTCAGATGAGAGCGACAGCGACTGTGAGAGTACCCCGGTCAAACGTCCTCGCAACAACCCCGGCCCGAGCTCGCTGAGCCTAGATGTGCGTGCGGAGGAACCCGGGCCATCGGCGAAGACAAAGGGGATAAAGAAAACCACTGATGGAAGTCAAGCCAAGTCCACAGACGCCTTGGGTGTGTAGTAATCTATGCTCTTAATTTAACAAAAATGGTGGGTAATGATAGTGGTTTGATTCTTAGTGGCAGCATTTTGTCAGTTTCCACACTTGTCATGTGCAGAGATTTATAATCGTAATTTTGTGTACGTGTGTTTTTATCATCAGTTCGGTTTTTAAAAACTTTTTTCGTACTCGGTAAGTTTGCCAGGAGTCGTTTTCCCTCTCAGAGTAAACTTCGAAACTTTCAAGCAAAGATGTGTGAGCTGGGGCGTTCCCGTAAGAAGGGGCACTGAAGGGTTACGTGTCAGATTTCTGTCCGGTACAGGGAAAGCCCATTCAAATCTCTGTAGTTCTCCGCCAATGAAAAGACGGTATTTAATCATCAATCTTTCCGCGAAGCATTCGCATTCATGGGTGTCAGTTTTTTAACCGGCCGACCACACATTCCGAGCACGAAGGGCTTCGCTTTCCACGATGGTTCTCCAGCTCCAAATACCCGGATATACAAACAACTTACACCATTGTAACGAGGAAAAGCTGAACATTTTCAAGGTGTGCAGCATTTTGTGTCTTATAGCAAAAGAACGAAGAAACAGCAATCTGAAGTACCCGGGTTTCACCAAAACCACGCCCTCGGAAGGCCACGAGGCCGTGTTTACGCTTCCTAATCCCTCTACTTCTCTTTGTCATTAGAATTGGCAAAATTTTCAATAGTTTCTTCACAATACATAGTCTAAAGATGTCACTTCAAATGGGGAATCCCTGCATTAAAAAAACAGAGATACTCTATTTAAACTTCGACGCATGGGAGTAGAATTCGGGTCTTTTGCATGCAAGACGAAGACCCGAAATATTTCACTACGAGAACCCCTTGTGTCAGTGGCCAGGTGTCAACTGTCCAAGTGGTCACCTTTATTATAATTATTGGTTTCTTTGATCGTGGTGTCATTGTTGTAGTAAGTGTTTTACGGCACTTGCAACACAATACGGTCATATAAGTGCCAAAGATTAGAGGTGTTACAAGGGAGTAACAATAGGTACCGCAGACTGAAATTTCAGAGTCCTCTGATTTCAAAGTTAACTGCACCACCTTATAGAATTTATTATTCTGAGCATTTTATTACCAAATTTATACATGTAGCTTCTTTTTTAACAAAGGTATGAACATCTGAAGTTGCAGAAAAGCGCTCTTTTTTTTTAAATTGTGAAATGTCGGCACTTTGAGATGTCATAACTTTCTTAAATTTGAATGGACATTCACTAAAACTTGTAAACACAAACCCATGCACATTGAGAACAAGCCAAATTTTTTTCAGGGCTATCATATTATGACCAGAAGATGGAAATTTATTGACGTGAACATGGCTTTTTGACCAAAATGGCAAGAAATGCAAGTGGAGGTGGAAAATCACCACTCGCGACCACCGGCTTATCTGCTGGGCGCCGGGCCATGCCGATGGGAAGGAGAAGGAATTTATACGAAAATGGGGCAATGGTGGCCCTCCTTGTGAGCTGATGGGGAGCGTCCGATATTTATTTGCGTACAATGGCTGTGTTATTCTTGAAGAGGAATGAATGGGCTTTCTGCCGATATATTTCCATAGTCAGTCCGATCACTTGTTCCATAAACAGCATCGAAAGTTTTCAAACGCAAATCTCTTCTATTAATTCTTTAAGGACAGTCTTTAGAAATATATCACCCGAAAGAGCGTTTTCTCATCTTGAAATATCGATGAATCAGATTGCAGTATTTTAATACCATACGCTCCCCGTTCCTGTTCAGCCAAGGTCACCTCAAAAATCGATAAACGAAACGCGCGGCCGCTGCAATGAAAACATCGATAGTGTTGTTTTTTATTCCACAAGATTTTGCTTTCAAAAGAATCGTTGATTCAAATAAATGATACCACTAAAAAGAAGAAAAGCTCCTCTTTCTTCTGATATATCAAGTGTCTGTATGTATGCATGATCACATGGTGTTTTAGGAGGGTAAAAATATGGGTTTTGGTCTCCGTGACCGTCCCCGGCGCATGGCCAGTTTGCTGTACCCAGAGTAACAAACACAAAAAAGAAGGAGCGATACGAATGATATATGTATGATAGGAAAGAAGGAGCAAACGACACCAGAGCACCTGCCAACCACTCACTTCGTAATGTCGAATGTATCTTGGCTGATGACAGAAATCCTGTTTCACTTGTCACAACAGGCAGATCTGAACTGAAATTGTCCAAAGGCAAAGAGAAGACGTCAGCGCATCTGTCGGCAGGGGGTGAAGCATCTGGCGTGACAAGTGTTCTGGTCAGTGCCGGTCCGAGAGTCCCAGCGGTCAGCGGAGATCAGAAGGTCGTGGGCTCAGTCTCCGGTCCGACGAGGAGTTTGGCCAGCACCACTGGCAGCGATGCTGTTGTCAGCGATGTTGTTGTTAACGATGTTGTCAGCGACGACGATGGACTAGCAGCCTCTCAGGACTCCAGCTGCAGGTCAGTAGTGTCGGGGGTCTAGTGGTTATCTTGTGTGTCTGAATGTTGTGTGTGTGTGTGTGTTTGTTGTAAATGTGTATCTGTTGTTCTGAATATGTGCGTGTGTGTGTGTTTGTTGTAAATGTGTATCTGATGTTCTGAATATGTGCGTGTGTGTGTGTGTGTATGTGCGTTGGGGGGTGGGAGGAATTCTGAGCTCATGATGAAGCTTAAGAACTCCCATCTGTGCACTTAAACATTTCAGCAACTTAGCAAGATACACACACACACACTTTCAGACACATACACACACACTTTCATTAAAAACACACACACACTCACACAACACAGTCACACATGCTTTGACAATCTCCTGTCCAAGACAATCTACCTGTCCAAGACAATCACCTGTCCAAGATAATCACCTGTACAAGACAATCACCTGTCCAAGACAATCTCCTGTACAAACGACCACTTCCCCTTAATTAAGAATACTCTGTCCAAGTCGTGCACCTGTTTAACCTATCCGTATGTCGTGTCTTGTTATCGTATCCGTATGTTGTGTTTTACTATCGTATCTGTATGTCGTGTTTTACTTAACTATCGTATCCATACAACATGGGGAACTCTATGCCTCCACTTTCCAAAGAGAAAATTTATTCGTTAATCCAATCCGTACACTTTACATAGCAGTCTGTTAAAATGATTTTTTGAGAAATACTGAAAGTTTCAAAGAGATCTTTACACTAGAAGTATTGTAAAATGTGAAGAATACAACCCCGGGGGTACGTACAAAATTACCCAAGGGCGTATGGATAGGGTTCAGACAGCCATCTTTGTCCTCAACAATGCACGACCTCAGTGCTTTCTTGTCGTGATCTCCATTTTTTTTTTTACAGCAAAAATGTGACGTCTTCTTCAGCTCACTCTATGTTATGAACTGTTTTCACTGTTATTTAAAAAAATGGACATAGGACAAGAAAGCACTGAGGTCGCAAATGAGTGGCTGCCTTGGACAATTTTCGACTGCATGCGAATTGTATCTCATTTGTCCTCCTTTCTCCCCCCCCCCCTCCCCTCTCTCTCTCTCTCTCTCTCTCTCTCTCTCTCTCCCCCCCTCCCCTCTGGCTTTCCAGCGATGGTCCAGACATGGCAGAAGAAAGCATTCTGCAAGGATGGCCTGATGAAGAGGAAGAGGGGCTCACTCAGTGTGTAAGTGACAGGGGTTTAAATCTTTGACTCACTCAGTGTGTAAGGGACAGGGGTTTGAATCTTTGACTCACTCTGTGTGTAAGTGACAGGGGTTTGAATCTTTGACTCACTCAGTGTGTAAGTGACAGGGGTTTAAATCTTTGACTCACTCTGTGTGTAAGTGACAGGGGTTTAAATCTTTGACTCACTCTGTGTGTAAGTGACAGGGGTTTGAATCTTTGACTCACTCAGTGTGTAAGTGACAGGGGTTTGAATCTTTGACTCACTCTGTCTGTAAGTGACAGGGGTTTAAATCTTTGACTCACTCTGTGTGTAAGTGACAGGGGTTTGAATCTTTGACTCACTCTGTGTGTAAGTGACAGGGGTTTGAATCTTTGACTCACTCTGTGTGTAAGTGACAGGGGTTTGATTTGAATCTTTGACTCACTCTGTGTGTAAGTGACAGGGGTTTGAATCTTTGACTCACCCAGTGTGTAAGTGACAGGGGTTTAAATCTTTGACTCACTCTGTGTGTAAGTGACAGGGGTTTGAATCTTTGACTCACTCTCTGTCACTGTGTGTAAGTGACAGGGGTTTGAATCTTTGACTCACTCTGTGTGTAAGTGACAGGGGTTTGAATCTTTGACTCACTCTGTGTGTAAGTCAAGTGACAGGTTTTTTTTAGTCTTAGTAGGTAGCGTAAACACGGCCTCGCAGGCACTCACGGCCTTCCGACCGCGTGGTATCGGTAAAATCGGGGTAATTCCGATCGCTGTTTCTTTGCTCTTTCGCTATAAAACACCAAATGCTGTACACCTTGTAAAAGTTCAGCTTTTCTTCGTTACAATGGTGTAAGTTGTTTATATGTCCGATTATTGGGAGCTGGAGAATCGCCGACGAAAGCGAAGCCCCGCGCGGTCGGAATGCGAGGTCGGCCGGTTGAAAAATTGACACGCATGCATTCAAATGCTTCACGGAACGAGGGATGATTAAATACCGTCTTTTCATTGGCGGAGAACTGTAGACCTTTAAACGGGCTTTCCTGTGATGTAAGTTTAGCCTTTGGCGTCTTTATAGAAAGCTTTTAAAAATACCGTCAAAATGTTTAAAGTAACCCTTTTTACACAAAATATGTATAATACCGACTTATAACAGGTATCAATTAAAAGATCAGTTCATTTTCTATTAGAATAAAGTTATTAACTTGGAATTATTTTTCATCAATCCTTCCGCGAGACTCGGAAAGCATGTGATCCCGCACGCGGGGTACTCTACAGTATAGAGCCGACTCGCTCGCCGCGGGGGCCGGGTCAACGCTCGGTGTTTTTGTCGAAATAACGACAGATCTTCGTGTTTGAGGCAATAAAATACTGATTTGTAAAGATCTCACTGTCTTGAAAAAAATTAGGCTCCATATATTTGTTATAGTGATTGTACTCTGTTAATGTGGAGATGTTTAGTGCACTTGGTACTTTTTTTATGTCTGGCAAACATGGGGTTGCAGCCACTGACTGACTTAAACAAATTTGATCAAATTTTAAACAACTTCAATTTTCTTTAAAATTGATGGAGAGGTTAAAGAATGGTACCAAAATGCTCAGTGGATATAGAGGCCTTTCAAATGGAACAGATAAATTTGGCATACAGCTAGTTTGAAAATTTAGTTTCTGGTACCTAGTCTTAGTAAGGTTTTACGGCGCTCGCAACTGCATAAGGTCATAATGTGAGCGCCAAGGGGAGGTCCAGTGTGCAAGTTGCGAACAATAAAGATCCCTTGGTGGTCTAAAATTTCCTACCAACTGAAAATGTTTAATGTGTCCTGCACGCTCATACGACCTTATGCAGTTGCGAGCACCGTAATACACTTAGCAAAAAAACAAAAAAAAAAGATACGGGGTTAGTTTCAAATAGATCTGTACTTATTAAAAGAAGAAGAGATGAAATGCATCAATGGATTAGCGAAGTGGTGTTTTGTGATCCAAGTACTGAAGACTGCTGGGACATTTCAGTAACCCACTTTCAGCACTTTTTAAGGACCCCCGGGCGAGTGTTGAGTTCCTGCGTGCTGTCGGCATCGCTGACCATTTATGAAGCCACAGCACCAGAAGAGAGAGAGAGAGAGAGAGAAGTACTGAAGAGATGGCATGGGTTATTTCATTTTTATTTTTTTTTTTTTCCTTCTGCAGACACAATCAAGCCCTGAAGCGTTGGAAGGAAGGATTCACGATATCATAGTGAGCAACAGAGAGCTCTATGAGAAAGTTTTGATGTACGAGGTGAGTTTGCCTGCTTCTTTTTTAAAATAATTTAAGCTTTCTCAGTCGTTGTGTATGCCCTGTCAGTAGGCTGCTGGAAGTGTGAAGGGTTTGTGTTTGATTCTGCTTCTGCCTGTGTCGTGAGAGGTAGCCCGCAGCAGTGCCTGCGTCTCATGTCGAGATACAGTCGTAGCTGTAGGCTGTTTTGTGTCGCGACGCGGTGGAATCGGGCGCTTGTCAATGTTTTTGGGCATCTTATCGAAAAGATTGTGGGTGGTTGCGAGTGCTCTGGCATGGTTTGCTTTTTCTGTCCTGCCAAACGTCTTTCATCCTTAACACTCTCTCTCTCTATCTCTCTGTCTTTCTCACTTTCTTTTATTTTTTGTATTATGTTACTTTCTAGTATTTAATACCATATATCTACAGCACTTAATTATATGATTTATTTGTATTGCAAGTGCTGTAAAACATCTTGCTAAAGCTAAATATAGTGGGTACTCTGGTAGTGTGATTTGTTCCTCCTTTCCTATCGAACATCTATCCTCTTGATCTCTCCTCCTTTTTTGTGTTTGTTACTCTCTTGTAATCGTAACACCTCTGATCTTCGGCACTTATGTAACTTTTACTGTGTTGCAAGTGCTGTAAAATTCTTGCTTTAACTAAAATCTGAAGCTAACTAAACTTTCTCTCACCAGCCTCTGGAGTTGGAGAAAGTGAAACAGCTGATAGCCAGCGCTGGCCTCAGGATTGGAATGGCCAAACTCATGGATTACTTAGACAGCCATGTACGTTGCTCTCCTTTTATTCTCAACACAGAATTTGCTCATCCTGGTTTTTCTCCAAATCTCCAGATAGAGATATATATTATATATATATATATGTGTGTGTGTGTGTACTACAGTATAGCACGGATAGGTGGAACACAGAAGACTCGAAATCCCACATCGGTCAAACTGTGCCTGCGGTCCCGTTTTTTTGTTTCTTCTTTATCTTTGTAGGATATACCTCGAACTACCGAGGCCAGTCCCAACGTGTTATGCTGTATATATTTTTGCAATCCTTGAGAAAAAATGAATGGTGTTGTCTGTGATGTGGCTGAAAATTGCTGCTATCTGATGTGGAAACTCATGGGAAAGCTCTAGAAGAATGTGTCAGTAATAATGATGTAACTTTATTATAATGCATGATCACACGGCGTTTTAGGAGGGTAAAAATATGGGTTTTTGGTCTCCGTGACAGTGTGCCACAGGGTCGCACGGCCAGTTTGCGGTTACCTAATTATATTGAAGGTAAGCTCTGTAGCTGGCACTCATCAGGTATGGCTTCGATTCCCACATTTTTGGTGGGGATGGGTACCGTAACGGTACAGTACTTGACTAGAAACAGCGAAAGATCTTGTCAGTTTGATAGTGTTTGAGTTTGAGTGCTTATATATCTCTACTATTTGTAACATGCCACGACCATGTATATGAGCTGTAAATGCATTATTGTTATCATCAAGATATTCTATATTTCCATCTTTCTGAGGGGCTATGGTATCCCACATCACAAGTGTTGGCCCTGAACAGACAGGGTTGAAATTTAATCTGTCCCCGTGGTTTTATGCACCTCGCATAATTTTGCAAAATTTGGTCTTTTTTTTGCATAATTTCGGATTATTTTCCTTTATCATTCTGTGTTGAAATTAACAGAATCGCATAATTTCACATTTTTGGGCTCGGTTTGCATAATTTCAGAATTTTTCTTGCATAAAACGACGGGGACAGTTTAATAGTCAGCCTCATAAAACAAGTAAATGGTCGAGTTGTGTTGATAGATGTTCTATTGTCTTGAATTGTGTCCATCTCTTCTCCTGAATTTCTTTTTTTCATTCTAATTACTAAATTATACAAACTACTAAATGATGTTTGCGGGTGCTCTGGTGTGGTTTGCTCCTTCTTTCCTATCACAATCATCTATCGTCCTTATCTCCCCTTCTTCTTTTTTTATTTTTATGTTTGTTACTCTCTTGTTACACCTCTAATCTTCTGGCGCTCGTAATATGACCTTAGGCAGCTGCGAGCGCCGTAAAACCTCTACTGAAACAAAACAAAATGATGTTTCCTACTTTGTTCTTGGTTGGTTCCCCAGTGTGTCACTTTCACCATGAAGAACATGAGCTCGCGGAACAACCGCCAGCCACAGAGGGCAGGAGTGGCCAAGAAACCGAGAAAACCGAAGAAAACCTCAGCAGCAGCCTAAAAGCAACAACAACAACAACAGTGCAAAGTGACGGAGAAAATGCTTGTTGTAATTCTGTGCCAGCTGTGATTGTTGCTTGGAATGTGTGAGTGTGAGCGACCTCAGTTCGGACAGAGTAGGGAGTTCTCATGAAGGAGACAGACAGTGACACAATACCCGGAGAGACTGCTTTTGTCCTTTACTACACTGATGTCATATCCTGTCCCCGTCGTTTTATGCAAGAAAAATTCTGAAATTATACGAAATGAGCCCAAAAATGTGAAATTGTGCGATTTCGTTAATTTTAACAAAGAATGATAAAGGAAAATAATCAGAAATTATGCAAAAAATGATCAAATTTTGTTAAAATGATCAAATTTTGCTTAATTATGCGGGGTGCATAAAACTAAAACCTCGGGGACGGGCTAGCTGACATAGTAGTATAAATATTAATTGTCCTCGCTGCCTTTGCATAATTTGATGGTTTGCAAGGTGTAAAATTTATGAATGGGGACACTTTGTGACACGGCCAAGGGTCTTAAAAAATCTATGGATGTGAGCCGAGATCTACTTTACAATACATAACTCAACCTCATACCCATGAGAATTGAGTCAGCAAAGGATGTTCCGCCCAAGCAAAGCAAACTGTTCAGGTCATTTGGCTGTGTTGAACTTTTGGTGTGGTGATGGTGTGGTTCGTTATGAACATGAGTGCATTTTGGACTCTTAACACTTTGCCGCCTCTTCTCGCCGATTGGCGATGTTTACCACCCCGTTTCTTTGGATTTTCCTCACAGTATGATGGCAAAGTGTTCAGTGGGTTGGGGGGAATTTTTTTGTTGTTGTTACGGACAATGTATTGACTATTATTACTATTTAATTATGGTATTTTTAATTGTAGATAACCTGCATGTTTGTGACTATTCTCTGTGCTGTGGCTGTCTGTGAACAGCTGAACCAGCAAAACTGATTCATGATATAATTGTTCTAAAATCATTTTTGTAGACTCATGAGATGACACTGTGAAGTAGGGTATTCTTGTTATATATGAAACTGGCCCCGCGGAAAATTGCATTTTTGAAAAAGAAAAATTGCAAGGTAAACTGCCTAAAAATTGCAACCTTCCCATCCCAGGCGCATTAATACGGGCGTAACATTTTTAGTTTAATTAAAAAACATGACAATTTGAGTACCGGTAGCATAAATGCAGCACAGCCTTTTAAAAAATCATGACAAACAATACAAATTCATCAAATGTTATTAGCAACATTTACTAGTAATGACACATGAGTACGTTAACAATAAAGTTATCGACCAAATATAATATGATAACACGTGACACAAAATAACGGAACCCTTGGTTTTCGTAATAACTTTTAAATGAAGGCATAAAATTTGACCTAATTTAGTACATACCAGGTACTTGGTTCATGCAAAGATCTAGGTCTATAAAAAACAGACGAGAGATTTATTCAAAACAACCTCTAAATACAAAATAAGCTTATGCTCCAATCAAATCAGATCCTGTTCTATTTTTCTCTTGAAACCTTCGATACACCAGTAATCCGTATTTAGATCTATTTCATATATTTTCTGTTTTAAAACCGGCATGGTATTGTTTTAGAAAGATAAGGGATTGACAGGGGGGTGAAAAGAGCTCAAAATCAAATTGTAAAATTACGCCGTTGAAAAAGTATATTTCACACAGCGTCTGTGGTCTGGTGGCAAGGCTTTCAGGCTCATAACCAAAAGGTAATGGGTTCGAACCCCATCAGGGGCTCAACATTGTGTCCTGGAGAAAGGCACTTTACGGTTACAAGTATTTTCCTCTCTTCAATCAGTCGGGTGGGAATGGGTAGGCCCTACCTACCTGACCATAAACGCTGAAAGATCTTTGTTACTTTAAAGTAAGTGTTTGAAACCTTTACCAACTGTATGCCTCCCAGGCCCAGTCAGCTGAGAATGTTCTCTGAGTGTTCCATGGTATGTAAGTAAAGATGACAATAGTTGTAGTTGTAGTGAAGTACATACTTTACTTACTTTTCCGATCCAGCGGCCATTTGGGTTCTAGGTCTAGCCTTTTGGTCTTACTGAAGTACATAGTGCATGGATCATGCACTGCCTGAGTGAAATTGTAACTATTATTATGTTGTCATCTCTTTTGCAATAAAAGTTAAGATCTGAAATGTCCATGCAGTTCGGTGTCATTCTTATCTTCATTCTCCCACTACAATTGACTCCTCTTGTGATGAGTTGAACTACCTGTGTTTGTTTTTAGTGAGTTTTACAGCACTTGCAACACAATTAGATCAATATTGAAGATGAGGTGTAACAAGAGATTAACATTAAATATAAACAACAACAAAAAAGGAGCGAGGATAGAAAGTTAGAGAGAAAAGAAGGAGCAAACCGCACCCGACGAACCAATCACAGCTGTACCCAGGAAACAATTTTGAAAGCAGGAAAGCGCAGAAAAAACAAAGATAACAAAACTCAAGAGACTTTTTTTCTGTGAATTTATTACACTCTATTGGTTCACTTAAACATTCTGCAGAACAGGTGGTTCGTAGCCATCGACTCTGTCGACCTTCTCCCCACCCTCGGAGGTCACACCCTTGGAGGTGGTGGTGCTTCCCTCGCCGTGCAGTTCCATCAGCTTGCCAACTGAAACACACAAACAGATTCATCTCATCATTCACTTGTTTTTTACAAGCTATACGGGCCGACAGATAAACTGAGCAGGACAGCCCAATTTAAGACAGATACCAGACTTCAAGTGTGATGCGATCAAGAAGAAGATTCATTTGTTTTTTAGTTTTAGTAGGTCTTACGGCACTAGCATAAGGTCATATGAGCGCCAAGGAGTGGATGTCAGCAGAGAAGTCCTTACAGAGAATCAGGCTTACTCTGCTCACCTCTCTAGCTTCAACAGCACAAAGTCTGCTTCGACTATCAAGGCACCCCGAAAATAGCGGAAAGAAGTAGAGGGGAAATGATGATAGTAAGGGTTAGGAAAGAAAAGGCAGCAGTTCCCCGTTGTAGTTCAGGCACAATTATGAGCATGACATTGATGAATCAGCCCATTTACAATTTAACAGAGCATAAGAAGTTAATGCCCCCCCCCCCCAGAAATGGTCTAAAGACACCGCCGGGGGTGTGTGTGTGTGTTAAAATGTAATTCATTGTTTTTGGCAATCTTGAGCACAGAAAAACACTAATGCCTTTATTCAGAGGCAAAAAAAATAATTTTTTAACAGAAAGTTAATTGCAAAAAAACCTAAGTAGCATCTTCTCCACAACAGTTTATTAGCAATGACAATGAAAAATTAAATTTTCATCCATATTGCTTAAAAATGGACTTAAATGAAAATAGAGTAAATTCTAAGAACTATGGTTTTTAAAAATTAAAAATCCATTGATAAATTAAAAAGTTGTTGGGATTTTTGTTTGCAAAATGTTGGAGGACCTTCATATAGGAAAAAATCGCCAAAATGTGGGACATGTTTTGATGTATTTTGAGGAAAAACTGTTCATAAGTCAGTAATGAATTGGAGAATATGAATGAAACTTGGCATCTCCATGTGATTTTTAGTGCCGAATCTAGTTCTGCCATCACTTTTTCGATGTCTTCATTACTTTGGATCTTAAAGACTGATATTTGCGTGAAATTTGTTGAATTGCGTGACATCGTTTTTACCGCGACGCGATCACCCCTTCTAAAACTCAGTAAAGCACTATCGGGAAAACCCGCGATGTAGTCATCGGTGACCCATTTGGTTATAGGCAGCCAATCACATGCCTCCTAGCGACCACGCGCCTCTTGCGTGCCGGCACCTCGCGTTTGGAATGCGCTATCAAGTTTCTAGATCTAGGGTTTTATCAATGGATGGGTGGTAATTTTAAGTTGGTACGGAAAATCTACTGAACGCAGAGATCTGAAATTTTACAGCAATAAAGAAGACATGTGGGGCGCTTGTGTGGTCGGCGATCAACCCGCAGCTCCGCTTAGTTTTCGAACCGCAGAGGAAATTCGCACAAACATGGCGATATCTCCGGTTCTAGTAATTGTTCGGGATTGTACGCTGGCATGTCGTTGGTTGCCGAGTTTCATTTATTTTCGTCCAGTTTTCCCATAACTAAATTTAGAAGAGAGTCACTTCTGATTCTGAGCGGCCCAAAAAATAACCCTCGCGCGGAGGCCGATTTCCGGCACAAGGCGCAGCGGGCGATTGGCATTGCTAAGTTTATCACCTGTCCGTCATGCAGTTTACATACAGATTGGCTCATTTTATCTAATATGGTAAAACAATAGACATGTGCTGCAGCACTGGCACCATCTACCACTGTCCTTGCAATTACTATTATAATCATAGGTTCCTATTTTTTGCTGCACTATAGACGTATCTCACAACAGTTGGAATAGTACTACCTAGATGAAAACAAAGCTATTTCCATTCATCATAATCACAGAAAATTGGGTCAGCGTTGACATAAATATAGCATCAAAGTGCCGTTTGTACACCTCTGAACGTTTTCAGAAAATTTCTTTCCAATTTTTTCTTTTTCCAAGAGATGTTGAGATTTTAGACATACCCTATTTTACCATGTCTTTGGCTCTTGGCAGACGTGGATGCAAAGAGTTTTCCATTATGAGCCAGATGAATGGAAAGTGTTGAAAAGCATGTTCCCCTTGCCATTCTACTTTAATTCAATTAATTTGTCATCGCACCACTGACAAACACAAAACTGGGGATAATGAATAGACATGTACTTTGAAAGAGTTACCCAGCGTATACCCCAATTTTCCTCCATTTTCATGTTTGAAAGTTAAATGTCACAACCACGAGAAACACCATTTCGAATAGTTTTTAAAATTTTAGTTCAAGTTTCAGCATTAATTTCTTTCACCACAGCCCTTATCATGCGCCCGTAGAATCACCGCATTAACGATTTCTCCATCTCTAGCCACATTTGCAAACACAATCTTCCTAGTAGTGATTTTCTTTTCTGACACCACCAGTCAATTAACTTGATCAACTCACCATCAAACTTGGGCTTCTTCAGGACCTTGACTTTGTGAATCAAGACATCGTGAAGAGGGTAGATTCCTTGGCAGCTCTTTTCAATGTCCTTGCCAATGCTGTCTGGGATCCTGTAAACACAAAAGGTAAGAAAGATGTAAATTAACCCTGCCGCTAACAGAAAAAACTTAAATGACGCACTGAGAACAAGACAATAAAATAAACTCCTGACCATTCAACCACTCAATGACCAAAAACATTTCCCCCGAAAATACTCCCAAAAGAATAAAAAGTTCGGGTGCATGCGTGTGTGGTGTCTCCAGAGCACAAGTATATGAGATTGTGTAGCGAACTGACCACAGCAAATAAAACTATTTAGCAAAAATACACACAAACAAAAAACATGTAGGCCTATTTTCGTGTCATCTGCAAGTTGCACAAATAATGTAATTGAACACAAAAAGTGTATTTTCATCTCAATTACAGAAAGTTGCATACGACCCATGGAGACGCACTTCAAGAAAAATAAAACTGGACTTTTATGCAAATCTTATCGGGGTTTGACAAGTGGGGGGGGGGGGGGGGAAATCAGAGCTTCGATTTTATTGGAGGACTTGGCAGGTCTGCGTATCACGAGTAACAACATTTTGGGAAGAACAGCAAGTTTTTGGGCACAAGACAGAGGACAACAAAGGGGTTGGGTTTTTTTAAGTAAGAGTTTTACAGCACTTGCAACACATAGTCATACAAGTCCTGAAGATTAGAGGTGTTACAAGAGAGTAACAAACATAAAAATGAAGGAGGAAAGAAAAAGACGATAGATGTTTGATAGGAAAGGAGCAAACCAAACCAGAGCACCCGCCAACCATCAACAAAGGTTGGAAAATCACATACCCAATTACTTAACTCAAGGACATTACCTGATTTACAGCTTTTTGCCACGAGTAACTCCCCAGTTCAAAAGGCAAACGTTTGCTCACTGAGGCAACAAGTGAACCCTAAAATCCATGCACAGATTGTCTCTACACATTTGTGGAAGCTTTAAAAGAGCACCAGACCGCCGTTACATTACCACCACTTACATCTAGTGCGCCGCCCACACACCCCAACTACCACGGCTAATTCAATGCCGTGGCCATAAACATAGAGCATCTAATCAACTGTAAACATCTCGTTTGATGATCCCCCTCCCTGAACAAAATAAAGATGGATTTGGGTTTTTTTTAAATATATTTGAAATACCCACAACACCACTTCACAATCTACAACACGTCCATCTCAACAAGTTAACCCCACACCAAAATCACCAAGTACAGTACAACAGACACACCCACTCTACAATGATCACACCTGACAATAGGTAACACAGCCTGCCTACTAAAAACTTTAACACTGGATTATAAAAAAAAAACAGAAAAAAATGTTAACTGTAGCTCAGGAAAGAATGGCACACGCCACTTACAGCTTGTTGACAACCTCCTTCATGTCGTTGCTGGAGACTTCACGCGAGACAATCTCAACCATCTTCTTCCTGATAGCCTTCACCTGAGAAAAATACAAAATATACATTTTTTTTTAAACGTATAAAAACAGTTCACTCCACAAAAATAAGAACACTTCAAAGCGTGTTCTCGTGGAAGAGAAGCGATCAATTCAATGCAAGTGAAAAATCGTTGGATCTGCCAAATACAGAACAACATTACCGACACACACACAGAAGACAAAAAATAAAGTCTAGCACGCACATAAACAGATTATCCAGATTTTTTCTTTACATTATAAACTTTAAACGACAAACATGTACACCGCAAAATCTATACATAAAAAGATTTGTCTTGGCAATTTTGCATTGTGCGTGCTAAACCGTACAAATATATCCCAACTTATTCAACAGGTGTCCCACTGTGCAAAGCCAACCTTTCTTCCCGCTTTAAGCAGTCATAAACACCAACCAAACCAAACATGTCAATTCATTAAGCCGAAACCATCCAGGCCTCAGCCTAAAGCAATGCTACGATAAACAATGAAACGGACCACTGTCAAAAAAACAATTCCCCGTAAACAGTGTAATCTATTCAGTGTGAGTAAAGAGAAGCATCTCATCACGATAACGGTTATATTGTTGTGCAGGGACGTAACAAAGACAAATAACACAGAGAAAACAAGCAGTATCTGCCAGTGGTGCTCTCCAACAAAACCCAATATCTACTCAATTATGAGCAACACACCATTGAAAACCGCAAGCTTCCTTCAAACAGGTTAAAAAACAAAAACAAATCATCATTAGACAAGTATGTAGGTCAGATCTATGGCCGGAAGCAAGACTAGTCTTTCACAGATGAAAATGGTCAAAACAAACCGTCACATGGCAGGTCACATATCTACGATTCTATGACTACAACCATTTTCTAACTGCCCCTCTCTCCATGCTAGATTGAACCCTCAGAAACGGCCTCGTGACAGTCACATATCTAAGACTACAACCATTTTCTCAAATTCAGTCTGCATTGGTTCTTATTAGTCGCAAGTCTGTCTAAAAACCAGACTTTCATCCAGTACCTTTAACCACATCTGTATGCCGTGTTCTACTACCGTATCCCTACGACGTGGGGAACTCAGTGCCACCACTTTCAAAGAGGAAATTTACTTTTTAATCCGATCCATATGCTTTGCATAGCAGTCTGTCAAAATGATTTTTTCAGAAATATTGAAAGTTTCAAAGAGATGTTCGTACTAGAAGTATTCTAAAATGTGAAGAATACAACCCCAGGGGTACGAAATCACTCCAGGGCGTACGGACACGGTTTAAGTATTCATACCTGCCCATCCCATTCACACAAGGTAGAATAAAGACTTCACTAACCTGAGCATGCTGAGCATAGCAGGTCTTCTTCACTTGGTTGTTCCTCTTCTTGGTGAATCCAATAGCGAACACACGCAGCAAATAGCCATCTGTTGTCTTCACATCAACATTGGCCTCAATAAGAGTCTGGGAAAGACCAAGCAGAAATACTCATAAGATGGATTTCTAAAAGCTTCATAAACAATACAAGCAAACTATTAATACATTGTTATCATATCAACTTTTAAAAAATGCTTTTACTACTTCACTGAACCAATGAAACATGAAATGAAAGATGTCTTTAAGCACACTATAGTTAAGAGAAACGTAACTCACCCAGCCCTAACGCCGATAATATCAGTATGAGCGTGCAATGCTCCAACCCTAGACAGTATCTATATAGAAAATTTAGCTCTCATGACCGAAAACACTACTTTTGTGTGAAGCAGGCTTTAGCCTAATTGAAGAGTAACCATTTTTCGTTTGAAACAGATTATGACCAGAAGTAAAAAGCCCAAATATGCGTGTAATTTCAACGCATTTCCTCTCTTCGCTTTTTGTTTACTTTTTGATCTTGTATAGATTTTTTTCCACGGAGTATTGCATAAAACTATTTCATTTTGCCTTCAATTTTCCAATAAACACAAATATAGGTTACAATAAAAATACGCACCAAATTTGGTTAGGATATGTTAAAATTTAGTTGGGATCTTTTTTTTTCCAAATTTAAGTAAAAAATCTCTAGGGAGAGCTGAAAACCCATAAGTTTAGGCCAAGGGTTGAGTGAGTTGAGGAAGGTCGAAAGAACAGAAAATACTGACCTGCCACTTCTTCACCATAGAGCAGAGCTTGTCACGAGTGAGAGACATGCCGTAGAAGTTGGTCAGCACGTTGCGGCCCTGCACTTCCTCGGCAATGAGCTTGAACTTGCGGAAAGTAACCTCATCGTTCTGAAGATCAGCCAAGCTCACTTCAAAGACGCGGCCCTTCAAGTTGTCACTGGCAATTTCTAATTGAGGAAAAGGGGATTTCTTTTAGTAAGCGTTTATGGCACTTGCAACACAATAAAGTCAAAATAAGTGCTGAAGATTATATAGAGTTGTTTCAACAAGAGAGTAACAAACATTAAGGAGGAGGAGGAGAGATCAGGATAACAGACGTTTAACAGGGAAGAAGAATGAGCAAACCACACCAGTGATCCCGCCAAGGAACAGTTTGAATTAGTTCAAATGCAGAAAAGAGCATTTTTAAGCATTTGTGAGGCGTGCTGACAAAATAGTTACAGTCGAACCTGCCTTAACGGAAACCTGTATAAAACGGAATCTCCCCGCTCCCCCCTTGATATATTCCTCTTTAATTACCTGTATAAAACGGAAACCTGTCCAACGCGGAAACGTAAAGAAAAATCCGCTCCCTTCCAAGGGTTTCACCTGTCTAAGACAGAAAATGCTTTGCCCGCTCAGCCCTGATTTGAAACAAAACTCGCAAGTTTGGTTCAGCCGGCTCTAAACTTAACGCCATAGCCATGCCGCTGGGCGAGGAAGGGGAGTAGGGGTGCAATTTGGGGGTAGATGTTACCCCATCATGTGAGCCCTGAGCGATGTAGATGGTCAGTGTAGTGTGGGTGTGAAATCTCACGACTGCCCGTGAGAGTGCTCGAGCAGCGAGCCATTAGGTCATTAGGGAAACTTTCCTGGGTAGTCAGAAGCCAGAGGTGAGAAATTAGATTGACCAATGCCTGCCGCCCTGATCGTACGGCCAGCCGAGAAAAAGAGTTCCTTGAATCGTTGTTACATGATGGCAGTGAGGGGTGGCATTGGTGGGTGGGACTATGGGTGGAAGCAAAGGAGATGTTCCAATGTTTCTGTTTTTTGATAGCCTAGGTCAAACAGCGGTCCTATGAAAGGCAAGCACTGATGGTAATAGATACATAAGACTGACGCATGTCATTATCAGACCAGCAGCTGAGGTGTGAAGTTTTGACCACTGCTTGCCGATCGGACAAGCAATCCTTGGATCCCACCGGCTGGGCCTTTGAACACCCCCTCCTAAATTCCCCTGTCTAAGACGGAATTTTTTCCCCACTCCCTTGTGATTCCGTCTTACACGGGTTCGACTGTACTTCTCACAATCTACATGAGGAGATTGCGACCTTAGTGCTTTCTTGTCATATCTCCATTTTCTATACAGTGAAAATGTGACTTCTTAAGCTCACTCTTGTTATGAACTGTTTTAACTGTCATTAAAAAGATACGACAAAAAAGCACTGAGGTTGCGAGGTATTGGCAAAAAATCGACAATAGGGTCAAATTTGTAGATTTTCTATTTCTGCCATATTGGATCATTATAATTCATTTTGTGTGGACTGCAGCAAAAAATTCATGCAGTTTGACCCCCAAAGCAATGCATCTGTGTGCAGGAGTCAAAAGTGAACATTTGCTCAATGTCCTTAGTAAGGGTGATAAAACTATGGAAAGGACTTCCGTAGCAAGCAACCACCCCAACAAACACAGGAAGCTACAGCGAGCACCTGGCACACCTCTGTGATTGGCCCATATAGATGACGTATTTCCCCCATTTCTTTTTTTTCCCCCCCAGTCTTCAGGGGCTTCCCTCGCCAGTTGACTAAATCTCACTGTGGCGGGCCCGTTTTGTCTCTTTTACCACATGATGGGCTACGTCACTAGGTTTCATAGACGACTGCTTGGGCTGTGTGTGCGCGCGCTTGTGTGTATGTGTGCGTGTGTACAACGAGAAAGTAAATTTATGGGGAGAGAAATGCTGAGCTTGTTTATAAAAGATTACACAAATTAATACATTAAAAAAAACATGGCGAGATCTAGTCATTTGGGGAGGGAAACCCTGGAAGACAAAAATAGATGGCGGACAAACGTCATCTATATTTGGCCCAATCAAAGAGGTGTGGTTGGTGCTCGCTGTAGCTTCATCTCAAACAAACAATAAAATAGAGACCCAACCCCCAACTCTGTTTCATAGTTGTCTTTCGTTATGGTATTCCTCTCAAACTATGGCCCACTTAACACATTACACCCTAAGGGCCTGGACGGGAAGTCCATTGTTAGATCTTAAGCAAGGGGAAAGAACCCATCTCCTGTGAATACTAGCCTTTAAAAAACACATTAAAAAAATACTAAACAAATTCCAAAAATCCTGAAAAAATAAAAGTTAAAAAGAAAACTGAATGTAGTTTCAGAAAAATATAACTTTATGTATGCGCAAACTGTTGGAAATGTTCTAACTTTAGTTCAATCGGGGTGTCCGACCCGTCACTCTCAGCCTCGCAGTCGGGCCCTAGATCTAAATTCTAGATTTTCTCCGTCTGATCAATCGGAATCGCCCCAAACTCTTCCTACAACATTTTCATCAAAATCTGAGCCAACTGATTTGTCACATGCTCATTTTTGGTCAAATCCATCGTTATTTCCGTTTTCGAACTCAATTGTGTCGCTTTTCAACAAGTCGAGACACTTTCAAAGTGTCGGTAACGCGATCGCACTTCGATCAGCTCTAATACTAAAACTACTGGCCCGGAAAATTTCGTTTCGGTATCAAACGAAAGAAGAAACTTTTTGCTATACTATGCAAATCGAAATCCCGGCCCCAGAGTCTCGTCAAGGCGAGACTTTCGTTTCTAAAGACGCTGGGTCGGCGCGGGCGGTTCCGGGCAAGTCAGGGTGGAGCGCGTAAGGGAATTCCCGGGCGAGTTAGGGTGTAATGTGTTAAGAAATAAAACTTACTTGTTCCTTGAGAACGTGTCACCAAAGTTTTGCCGATTTGCCTCACAGCAAACATTGAAGGAGCTTTCACATCGTACCATTCCTTCTTGGTAAAGGGGTCAACCCTGGATAAAAAGCAAAAGAACACAAAGTGAATCACTAACAGGTGCACAGTTCATATTATATGCTTGATTACAAAACATAGGTCATAATGATAACGAACAAAGCTGTAAAGCTATCACACTGAATGTCAAGGACCAATAATGAGTGGCTTAAATTCTAAATCCAAACCAATTGCCAATTGAATCAATTGGTAAATAAAAACAGGAAAAATGTTTATAACAAAAACAATGTCACCTCCACATGTGCCACATGTGAGAGAAGACAGCAGCTATTCGCACTCGTGTCTGAATAGCCTCCCATGGACCATGGAGCAATGAGAGTCCGAATAGCAAAAGCAGGAGGCTTTTCAGTCTTGTGTCCCAATAGCCACTACGGGTGAGAGAATGTCCCTCTCCAAAACATTCATTGATCATGTAAAATGGACAAAAGTTTGTAGGTACAGAAACCCAAAGTAAATTTCAAGAGGCACAATTAGTCAATTAGACCTAGAATCTAATATCTAGATCTAGATCTAGATCTAGATCTAGACTCTACATTCAATCAATTTATAATAATAAAAACAGTAGGCAAAACGGAAACATTGGTAAACAAACATGCAACATTTCTTAGACTTTAAGACAACCATAGACAGTTAAACAATCTCAGGTCCAACTAAACTTAAACAATGAAGTTGTGTCCTGTACGTGCCATGTGCAGCTGAAAGGGTCATTCTTGCAAAGTTATAGTTAGGCTATAGCTTTCGCCTTTTATACGATGACGATGAGTCTTACTTGTGGGAACTCTAAGATCTAAATCTAGATTTCACTCTCCTAATTAAACGCTTTGGACACAAAGACTGGGAGAACTGTAACAAGCGACTACTATGACACTATGAGACAGAGTAGAAAGGCAGAGTAAGGTCTCCTTTATTTATTGGGGAGGACTTCCGTAAAGAGCAACCACTATGAAACAAAAGAATTGAGGGCTAGGGGTAGGGGTAGGCCTCTTCTTTATTATGTTTGAAGGGGTGGTCGCTCCTTACAGAAGTCCTTCCATTTATTGTGTTTGTTGGGGTGGTCTCTGGTAACTTGTTACAGGTCCTTCCCAAAGAATAGATAAATCCAGTCTAGTAAGCTTAATTAAATTTAGATCTAGTTAAAAAGTTAGAATCCAAATTACGAACCCTTTTTATTGCCAACTTTTATTGTCATGTCATGACGATCAATGTCAATGATGTACCTATTCTTTCTCATTCAGATTACCAAAATTAGGAATTCAAAACAAGGCCAAGGCACTATAGATCTAACTCTAAACGAGACCCAGTTTCAAAAGTGCTTTTCTTTTAACAAACACAACTTGGTCGTGCAATGTGGATATTATTGCAATATGAACTTAAATTTGATGACAATTCAGTCACTTGCCGGCTAGAAATACGGTGAAATAATAAACATTCAGAAGAACAACACTACAGGCTGAAGGCAACGAATGTGGTAGGGTAGTCATTTCAATCCGTCTAAATCTCAATGAAAATTGCAAATCAATTATTCAAACCAAACGCAATATCAAAACCATAAACAAAATAATTTAAATTAACCAATTTAATGTACTTACACCTTCTTTTTAGCTCCTTTCTTGCCACCTTTCGTAAGGCGCTTATTTTTACCGACAGCCATGTTGACTGACTTGATAGAGAAAAGGAAAGGAAGTTGTGATCTTCGGGTTTCGTGAGGAGCAATGAGAATTATGGGAATTCCAAAACTAAGACGAGTCCCGAGTCGCTGAGTACGCGAAACAAAACTTGTTATCCGGCTGCAGATTTTTTATTTCCGGGTCGTGTTCACAAGCCTTTTGCACTAGATCTTTAGATCTATTTATTATTCAGAAAAATTTGTACTCGGAATTTTCATTTTTAGTGATAAAACACGAGAACCATCTAACACGGAACGTACATAGTATGCTATAATAGGCCATTGTATTCGTACAGCAAAAATGTGTGATTGTGCGTACATGTGTGTGTGTGTGTGTGTGTGTGTGTGTGTGTGT